CATCATACAGAAGATACATGTGTTTATTTACAGTTATCTACGCAAAATACTTCGGATTCGTTGGGCAGGACACTATCAGCAACAACCTACAGTGGGAAAGAACAAACCGGATACCAGCGGAAGAATAAATCAAGAAGAAGCTCTGGAAACAGATTGGACACACATTGAGGAAAACATCCAACTACGTCTCAAGGCAAGCCCTCACATGGAATCGTCAAAACCAAAGGAAAACAGGAAGACCAAAGAACATATTACGTCAAGAAGTGGAAACAGATATGAGAAGAATGAACAACAATTGGATAGAACTAGAAAGGAAAGCCCATGACACAGTGGGTTGGAGAATGCTGTTGGGCGCCCTATGCCTCATTTGGAGTAACAGGCGTAACTAAGTAAGTAAGCAAGCAAGTAACTAAGTAAGTAAATGTATCTTTTGTGTACTAATTAATGTACATCATTCATATTTCTTTGTTCTTTATCTATTAAACCATTCTAATTAACAAGAACAGAATGATTAATTAAAGTTTATTAGCCGGAACTATTAACCGGGATTATGTTCCAAGAATTAGTAACATCAAAATGAATTACATTTGATTCATAGAATACTTTGGATTGTTTTGTTATAGTTTTTGGATTATACTTTGTATTAATGTTATTTCAATTATATTGTCAACTGTTCAATGGTTGTTTCTTCAGTATGTATAGATGATTCATCAAGTGTCCGAAAAGTATAGAATTCATTTTAAAACATGAATGTACATTACATTACGAAATTAAGGGAATGATAGAACATGTATCATCCTGTCATTTATATTTTGATATTGAAGAATTAATGATAAATTGTTTGGCTTGAATCTTCCCATTGAGGTTTAAGACTACAATTGATCAGTCTGTTATTGGCATATGTGTATACCGTGCGGATTGCCTCGATATTACCTTAATTCACAAGCTATTTGTAGGCAATGATGCATAGTGGCTAGCAGTGGGATCCAGTTTGACGCGCGTTTCGTTTTACTTGAAACTCCTCAGCTGGATGTACCTACATCTCAGAGTTGATGATCACTGGGTATCAGGACTCACTAGCTGAGCGGATAACGCGACGGCGTTCGAGGCGAATGGTACTGGGTTCGAGTCTCAGAGTGAACATCAACAAGTCTGATATGCAGGTACACCCAGATGACGAGTCCCAAATAGGACGAAACGCGCATCAAACTTGATCCCACTGCCAGCCACTATCCATCATAGACTAAATATATTCATTTATTACTTATTAAGACCATGAATCGATCGACGTTAGACCACCGTTGAAAATCTGTAATCACTAGATGGTCGTTTCGTCCTAGTATGTGACTCCTCACTGGTACACATCCACGATCATGCATACAAGATTCGATTCCAGAATCTATAGGTCTTGCACGTGTACACTTAACATCTAGACCATTGAGCTGATATCTAATGGTATTAATATTTAACTTCTATCGATCCGCGAATAGTTACGCAACTACTCATCCATTATCTGAGGTAAATTCTTGTCTCTACCCGATGTGGAATGAAGTACACTGATCAATCACATAACACTGAAAAATAGAGATAGACGTGAAAAGAATAAACAACAATTGTATAAAAACAGAAAGGAAGACCCAGTACAGACTGGTTTGGAGAATGTTGCTGAGCGGCCTATGCTCCATTGGAAGTAACACTAGTAAGTAAGTAAGTAAGTAAGTAAGTAAGTAAGTAAGTAAGTAAGTAATTCACGGCTTCTCAATCAAAAAATTTAATAATGTCCACAACCCCTTAGTACAAATAATCAATCAATTATGTTTCATTTTATTATTTTATTGTCATTTGATTGCATTATGTAATATTTAAAGAAATTAGCAATTCCATATTAAATTATAACTATTAAACATAATTTTGTTCCATAATTTTAAGTCTTAAGTTCTATCTAGAGTTGGAGAGAGAGAGAGAGAGTAGACTAGAGAGAGAGTGAGTGGGTGGGTGGGTGGGTGAGAAACAGAATAAGTAGAAAAGCGATTGATTCCGCCCTAGAAAATACTCTCCACTTATATATATATATATGTATGTATGTTCAAATGGTTGTCATGATGTTTCTCAAGTTTTACAGTTTTTTTTATTTTGTTTTGGTTACCAGTTAAAAAATAATAAAAAAAAACATAATCACTAATTCTGCCAAAGTTGAAATTGAATTATTTCTATTAGTATGACAGGTTACTAATTTCTTTCTCTTAAATCTATATACAAATTATTCTTCTTTTTTCGGAATAATTTTGAAGTTAAGTTGACTTCATGTCAAACAGTATGCTATATCCACCTCTCATTATACTACTTATATATATGTAATTAATAGTAGTATTAATAATGGTAGTAGTAGTAGTAGTCGATAGCCAACTAAATTTTGGTTCATTTCCTGTTTATATAAATGATTGATAATAACAAATATAATGAATAGAACCGAATTGAGTATTGTTCACATCTATGACAATGTTATATAGAATGAAGAAGTTATAATTGTAGTTGTACTTGAACGGAATATGACTGAATTGAATGGATATGTAAGTGTATGAATGTATGTATATACAAAGTAGCTGTATGTCATCTAATGAAAGTGTATTTTAAAATTGTTAGGTTCTTTTGATAGTAAAATACTCTTTGATTTGAACAATATCTTAAATGGATTGGAATATGACTAAAAAAAATGAAGAACAGTAAACAACTAATTCATTATAGATAGAGTTGGATGGTAGGTAACAGAGGAATACAGGATGAGGATTTCATCTTAAGTAATACTCTTTGGTTGGATACACTTGATTATTAGATTTTATACTTCCTTCGATGTTTGAACTCAGTTAGTTATCATGTTATCCACTTACTGATTGAGTACAGATAGTCAATATCAAATGGGTTTTGTGGATATTATAGTAATTTCAGTGGTTAAGATCATGAGTTAGTTGAAGCTAGACCACCATGGAAAACCTGGAAGCACTGGACGGCCGTTTCGTCCTATTGTGGGACTCCTCAGCAGTGCGCATCCACCACCTCGTCCCCTGAGAGGTCCGAACCCAGGACCTACTGGTTTCGCGCGCGAGCAGTTAACCAGTAGATCATTGAGTCGGTATCCAACGGTGTTAATATCTAACTTCAACCAATATACGAAATCGGGCGACACATCCACCTCTGTCTTCAGTGAGTTACTATTTCACAACAAACATGGTTGAACTCCACTGGTCACTACTTCTCACTAGAACTCCGGAAATACCTCTTGAAGCCAGTCACTAGTGAGCCGGCTCAGTGGTCTAGTGGTTAAGTGCTCGTTTGGGAAGCCAGTGGGCCCTGGGTTCGAATCTCGCAGTGGGCGAGGTCGTAGATGCGCACTGCTGAGGAGTCCCACAATAGGACGAAACGGTCGTCCAGTGCTTCCAGGTTTTCCATGGTGGTTTAGCTTCAACTGACTCCTGATCTTAACCATTGAGATAATCAATAGATTGTGAAATGGGGTGTATTTTCATCCATTCTCATTGATTGTTTGGATCTTCCCATTTATGTTTAGAGAAAACAGTTGATCATCTCCTTTTGGTATCCAACTCTTTAAGATACGTGTGATTTAGTAGTGATATCAAAGCATTACGTACACAATGCACATATATCAACACAGATACCAAATGGGAGATGCGAACAATCAATAAAGATGTTTCTTTCAAGTAGTGATGGTATTACTTCATAATGAGAAGACAACTGCATTATCTTAAAACTACTGGTCTACATTGAAAACCTTCGTCAATTAATGGTATAGCATGCCAATCATCAGGTGATTTCAACTTTTCATTGTATAACAAAGCTAAACGTAACCTTTCTATAGAAAAAAATGAATCGTACTACGATGTGAATATTTGATCATCTTCAATGAAACTGTTATGTGAAAACCATACGAGATATTGATACTTGATAAACGTAATTGTATATTTATCATTATAGGATTGTGAAGGTTGTTGAATTGTATTGTGATCATGAACCAATCAATTTTAGACCACCATTGAAATGCTGGAAGTACTATAGGACAGTTTCATCCTCAGCAGTGCGCATCCATGATCCTGTACGCAAGACTTGAATCCAGGGCTTTCGATTTCGCACACGAACGCCTCACCTCCAGACCACTGAGCTTGCATCCAACAACGTTAATATTAAACTCCAATCCATTCATTATATTTCACAAGTCTCATTAAATACTTTGAGGGGATAATTGTCTCTCAGTCCACACACATTGAACACCAGTCGTTTCTATTGGTTTTCATTAGTGATTTAGGTAGTATCAGTTCGTGATTTAAACGGCGAAAATCTTATCTTAAATATTTAACTTCTCAGGTTCTAATGATGAGCCGTGACCAGTGGAGTTTAAACTCTTTTAGGTATGAGACAATTATCCACCCAATACATTTGATGAGATTTACGAAATATCTTGGAATGGTTAAAGTTGAATATTAACGTTGTTGAATGCAGACTCAGTAGCTTAGAGGTAAAACATTCACGCTCAAGACTGTTGATCGAATGATTTATGTGAGGTCTGGTATACTGAGCGGGTGCCCAGACCAAAGCAGGTGGTTTTCTCAGAGGGCCACACCCAGAGCCTTCGACTTAATGATTTAATCCACAAGGCAGTGGAGCAACGTGAGGAGATGCAGTCCCATGATAGCCGGTGACCAACAATTGGTTCATACGCTATTTGTTCCTTCAGGATACTGGAGCCGACGTGCACCATTGGTTTGGAATCAGGGTTTTCCAACTCTCTAAGGTAAAATTCCAGTGTCCGCCAACCCAATTAAAGCTCACTTCTTGTCCTCTCAACTTCGTTAACAACACCCATAATGTGAGATGGGAGTGAGTAGAACTTCCGTGACCATTCTCATCAACAGTTTAAACCATTCAATAGAATACAAATACTTTCATAAATAATGAAATAAACTATTCATGATGAATGAATTACTCACTTTATTAAATGCTCCAATACTTCTTGAACCAGCATCATTAAACATTCTTGAATGTAATAATAATGCACGTAATGCTAAATATAATCGTCCTAACATTGGTAAAATTAATAATAAATATGGACTAAAATGATCACTTAAATGATGTAATGAATGATTACGTTATAATTCACGTAATTAGTTATTGGGAATGAATGATTAAAAAATAAATCAATACCAGGGAATGGATGAATTGAGCAAATCAATAATTCTGTAATAATTTGTATTACTCTATGCTTAGTTACACATATTCTCCAATCTTTAGTATATTCTTCACATAGAAAAACCTTTAAAAAAATAGAAATAAAAAGAGAAGAGAAAGAAGGTATCAATGAATGATGTAATACTTTAGAGGTTATCAAGAAAGATACACTAAACATCATTATTCAGGTTTAAAGATTGAGTAGTGTCTTGCTCTTCTGTGAAATGGAATTGAACTGTACTGCATAGATGTTATATTCGGTTGTCGCTGATTACTGTGCCAGAAAAAGCCGCTGATCACTTATATTCGGGACGAGGGACCTCTACAATTCCCACGACGCAAAAGTAAGAACACACAAGACTGGTATAAGTGAAGATTTATTAGCCCCAAAACACTATGACAACGACAAATCGAATCAAATCTAGTCTAAAATACACTGGTTTATATATTGATTGTACACCCATGTTGATTAATAATTAGGATTAAATCAGATACTCAGTTATAACAACTCACTTACTGAGTATAGTTCATGTCAACTAAATACAAGAATATCTCGTATATTATACAGAAGAAAATATTATACTGGAAAAACAAATCAAATACTACACTGAATGATCCTCATGTTGAATCAAAACGGATGTTGAATGTTGAATAAAACTCATAATCGATAAATCAATTGAATTTTGACTTGTCTTTCTATCATATCAATAGGTTAAGTTTGAGCGATATCTGGCTCTCTTGTAAAACGGAATTGAACTGTACTTAAATTATTGTCTCATAATAGAACGAAACGACCGTCTAATAGTTTCAGGTTTCCATGATGGTGGTCTAGTTTTAATTGACTTATGATCTTAACTATTGAAATTACTATAATCTCCACAAAACCCTTTTTGATACTAAACGAATAAGTGACAAGGTTTAAATGTGAAACAAGAAGAATGAATAAACTGGCTTATCCGGAAGTCAGAATAAATTATGTGGCTTTGATATAGTACCAGATACTACAATCTATCAAAACAACTATAAATATGAATGTACAGCATTGTTAAATGACTTCGTTGTAAAGATGATTAGTGAGGCTATAATTTATGAACGACCTTTGAGCGATGTTACAAATGTCAAGACAGTTCTGATGTATGGAGCGGAAACTTGGAGTCCAGAAGATACATGTGTTTATTAACAGATGTTTACGCAAAACACTTCAAATCCATTGACCGGACACTATTAGCAATAACCTACTATGGGAGAGAACAAATCAGATCGCAAAGGAGGAAGAAATCAAGAGGGAGTGCTGTAAGTGGATAGGACACATATTGAGGAAAGCACCCAACTGTGTCACAAAGCAAGCCCTCACTTGAAATCCTCAAGGCCATAGGAGAAGAGGAAGATCAAAGAACACATTACACCGAGAAATGGAAACAGATATGAGAAGAATGAACAAGAATTGGATAGAACTAGAAAGGAATACCCATGAAACAGTGGGTTGGAGAATGTTGGTTGGCGACCTATGCTTGATTAAGAGTAACGGTAGCAAGTAAGTAAGCTATAAAACCCTTTTTGATAACAAATAAACTTGTTTTATAGAGAAGTTGTACAGCTAGAAAACGGATCGAATCAGTTAGGGAGCAACACTTTTTATTTTTTCAAAATTACAGGTACCTCTTGTTAACAAATGCCAAATTGTGCATAATCTAGGTCCAGGGATTTTGTGTTGACCATCAGCTTACAGGTTTCGTCAAATAGAATAATCATTTTGAATTAGTTAAAAATGAACACTACTAACCGTGAACCAGATCTAGTTATTACTAGGTTACTAAACGACCACCATTCCATGAATTCGAACATATAGTTGATGTATTCAAGTTTCATCAGTCAAAGCTTACTGTTGAAATTCTAAGGATTTATCTTAGAAGTGCAGCAATTTGGAAGACTCTCCCGGTCCCTATGCTCCGTTGGGAGTAACAGGCGTAACTAACTAAGTAATTAAGTTTGAGCGACGTTAGACATTGAAATCTAACTATGATAGATGGGGTAGATATATATATATGTTGAATGATATCAGATATAATGTCAATGAAATTCTTCCTTCCAATCAATGAATACACTTAATATGAACTATATTACTGATATAATCATTGAATAATATACAACAACAACAACAAAACGGTATTATCTACTTACCATTATATCATATGTATGATAGCAGATTATAAGTAGTAGAAGAATAATTGTTGAAAAAGTAATCAAGATTCGTATAGTTGTTGAATATATACTATTCTATAAGGATGATTGAAAGTAGGAGAGAAGAGAAATCAAAGTATAAATATTGACTATTCTGAACTCAATAGTTAAATGTTATAATACATCGAGTATTTGAAGTGAAAGTAAAAAAAACAAGGCTCAAGTCTTAATATTAATATCAACATTGAAGTGTTTTCATATTCAACTGATGAGTATGTCAACTTACATCACCGCCTATGGCGAAGACAAGATGTCCGTCTATCAATTAAGGGATGAGTATACTGTGCGGCAGCGTGTTTTGTCCTGCTTTATGGCTGCGAAATGTGGCCATTAAGAGTAGAAGATATAAGTAGGTTACTGGAATTGCACACATCTGCTAGGATCATCGAGTAAGTAATAGTGAGGTTAGACAGGGTATTAGGAAATGATGGTAAATCAGTTGATGAGGTTGTGAATCTTCATCGACTGAGATGGTTGGGCCATGTGTTACGTATGCCTGAACATTGTTTATCACGACTCGCAATGCTCACTAGTGTTGGGGATGGTTTGAAGAAAGTTAGAGGTGGTCAAACCAAAACGTGGTATCAGTGATTGAAGTCACTAACTTCTAGTCCTAGCCATGTTGGTAGATACGGAATACTTGGGTGGGGTCCGCATGACTATCGCTACCGATGGTTAGAGACTCTGTGTGACATGGCTCAGAATCGATCACAATAGCGTCGGTCTATACACTCTCTGTCTTCCTTTAAGCTATGAGATTAAAATTGCTTCATATCTTTCTTTCTACGAACTAATGCTTTTTCTTGTATTATATCATTATACAAAATCTTTCTCTTATATATTACTTCTACTGAATTAACTGCTTTTATGAATCCGGTGTTCATCTTGCTGTGCTAATGAGGTATTGAAACTTGGATCGATGCATATATATGCTTGGTCTTACGTCGTAGCTGACTGAGTGAACTGACTGATGAGTATAGGATAGGACGAAACAAGCAATTAGATCTCATTGCTAGCCATTGTTAAATGTTAATTGAAAATGCTTATCATTTAATGTCTATTTCGAAGCAATTCATATAGGATACTTAAAAAGTCAATAGTGGTTGTACGTTACAATCTTAAGCATTGACAATGGGAAGATTCAATCTATAAAAGTTAGTTAAAATTATGCTCAGTTTAGATATCTGATAATAATTGGTATCGCAGTGTGAATTGAACTTGAATATACTTTTTATTTTTTAAACATCTCATCAGTTAGACTGTTCACACTTATAGGGCCAGTAAAATGTCACTGAAACTTAGCCAAATCATCCGGCAATTGGGTCACTGAATATCGATCAGATCATCAATCCCTGCCAATGTCGAGAACAACAAACGTGCATCTGTTGTTCGTATGCCATGAACCGGCCTATACAGTGGTGGTCTCATTATCGTCTCTGTACTCGTTCTTACTAATATGTCTTCATAAAAGAGTCCTTTGTGTTGTATGGTGTTCAAAGTATCCACTACCTTGATACGACGAAGGGGTAATCGACGTTCAGCGCTGACCGCCTGATGTGATTTCGACGTTAGCTGCTGGTCACAGCATCTCTGTCTAACTCTATCTAAGTACAATCCATCTATTCTAAGTGTGTTCTTTCAAACTACTTTGTGAAATAGACATGTTGTATCTATATCAGAACAACAAACGAAATGTCAATAGCATTGTCTAAATATAATTCTAGTTAACAAAAGCTAACGTATTTGATTAGACAAAAGAAACAAGAAGAACGGAATGTGTCATTAATATCCGATATTTCAGAAGCGTTTTCTTTGTCTACTTGTCTATCCATTATTCTTTCTCACCTTTTGTCTTTCTTTCTTTCTTTCTTTATTATTATGTGTTCACCAGTGACTGGCTTCAAGAAGTATTTCTTGGAGTTCTAGTGAGAAGCCGTGACCAAAGGAGTTTAACCGGGTTTGTTATGAGACAATAAGTCACTGAAGGCAATGGTTGACGGTCGCGCAATTTCGTGAGTTGATTGAAGTTAGACATTAACACCGTTGGATGATGGCTAACTGATCTAGAGTTTAAGCATTCATACACGAAAAAAAAGTCTTGGGTTTGAGTTCCGAGTGCGAGATCGTGGATATGCACTGCTGATGAGTCCCTCACTATGACAGTGCTATCACGTTTTTCATAGTCGTGTAAATTCAAATTGACTCATGAATTCAACTATTAAAAATTATTGCAATCCACAAAAACCCCATTGTGAAAGTAAACTTTTACTAAACTTTATTCATCAAATTAGAAAATTTCCTGCATAAACTGAGTTGACCTGAACTTGACTTTCATCATCCACTGTATAACCAAACCAATTGTTCTATGTTGACCAAACATGAAATATGTCTCATAACTAATTTCATATTTAATTAGTGGAGTAGAAAAATGATTGATTAGATAAGAATTATTAGGTGGATTGCTTGATATCTTGGAAAGGTGCCAAACACATTTTGAATTATCAGAAAGGAGTACACACAAATGCCCTGGTACGGTCGAGCGTAGGAAGGGTTAGCTCTTACTCTCCAAATGCTCTCACGTGAACAAGTGTATACAGCCACTGTAAAGGAAGTCTCACTCACTGCCTTCTCACGACGTGGATGTAGTTTACGAAATCGAGAGGACTAAAAGCAAGTGTCCGACTTATTAACCAGGTTGCAGGATATAGATGATCCACCTAGAAGAGTTGGAAAAACCTGACATCAAAACCATAGTGAACATAAGCTTCAGTATTCTGAAGGAACAAATGGTGTAGGAATTAATCGTTAGTTTCCGGCTACCATGAAACTGCATCCCCTTACGTTGCTCCACTACCTTCTGGATCAAACCGTTAAGTCGAAGGCTCCGGGTGTGGCTCCCTAAGAAAGCCACCTGCTTTGGTCTCGGCACCCGGTCAATATCACAGCCCACTTACAAATCAAGTGACTTGTATGGCACATATATGTATACCGGTGCCTATTCCTTACCATTATTTATATGCTCAAATAAACTATGATAAAACAAAATATAACTTACTTTATTATACAATGATCTTGAAATGAATTCAATATCAAGAAATGCTGCCAATATACCAAATATACTAAATGCTAATGCAAAATCAGCCATTCTTCTACGACTTTCTAATAAACGACGCCTTCTACCAAGATGATAACCAATACCTTTAGATAATTTATCAGTTAAACGACGTTCTTTTTTAAATTTATTAGAGAATAATGAATTTTTATTCAATAAATTATTTGTTTCATTATTTAATGTTTGTTTTAATGGATCTAAATAATCATTGGATTGAATCAGTTCAATAGAAGGTTTACTTTTCTTCAGCATAGGACTACCATCATCATCATTATCATCATGAATAGGGTTTGTATGTTCTAGCATATCATTTGAATTATTTTTCTTTAAATGAATTGTAGATGATCCAGAGCTATTCCTGAAATGATATAGATATGAAGACAGATAAAGAGTGAAGTAATGAATGTGAAATGCTAATTGTTCAATATAATAATTTGAGGATCTGAATACCTGGAATTTATTGTTTGTTTGGTAAGTAGAATGGTATTGTAGTGAATGAGAACATTTCATAATGAAGTCTAACACTCAATAGTTAAAAGGATAATGAAATGACGTTTGAAATGAAAGGTATTGGGTTCGAGTCCTACAATGAACACTAGCCTCTGGAATGTAGGTACATTCAGTTAACGAGTTTCAAATAAGGTGAAATGATTCTTGTCCTTTAAATTGTTTTCTATTTCAAAAATGCATTTTATATAGCTAATCTTTTGTGTTACTATAGTGAATGAGAACACAAGTGGGGACAACCACATGTAGTTAAACAGAATCACTTAGTAAAATCTAAGAACCATACAATAATTGTTTCATGTGCAAAATGTCAATCAATTGTCTCAGACTTCATTGTTCCTTCGTTTCCACACCAATCATTCTCTGTTCTCGTTCAATTCTTTTCGATCTTCTTAACCCTCTGTTATCAGGTATTTCACTTTCAATTGATGATACATACAACTTATATCTGTCGAAATCAGTAGCACACACCGGAGGATGAATCTGATTTGAAATTTTCGTTTTTTGGTTCTTCGAATTTGTCAGATTCGTTTTGTCAACTGAACTATTAATTTCAATAGTTGAAATCATGAGTCAATTGAAGCTAGATCATCATCGAAAACCTGGAAGCACTGAACGGCCGTTTTATCCTATTTTGGGACTCCTCAGCAGTGCGCATTCACGATCCCGTCCACTGAAAGATTCGAACACAGGACCTATCATGATTTCACCTATTGAAATTATTAAAATCTCCAAAAAAAACCCCTTCTGAACGATTAATGTAAGATATTTTATGCTCCTAATCATAATTAGCATACATTCATCGAGCTAATTACTATATTAGGAATTTACACTTTATCATTGAAACATCGATTTTATGGATTCTAATAGAACAATGAGAGGATGGTGTCTATCTAAATCATGTTGATATAATTGAGTGATATATTTGTAACAATCTGACCACACATATACTGGACAGGACATTTTATATAAAGATTAATAAAGTTCAGTTAATTGAAAGTTTCAGTAAACAAGGTAATAAAGAGAGAAGAAACATATTTTTACATTGTAGTAAAACGAATAAGAAATTGTTGTATTATCAAATTAGGCCATAAAATGACTTAAGGACTACCAGGATAAATACAAAATTAAGACAAATTGATTGTGTACACATTGGGGAGGGTGGCAAATTTGAGAATACACAAGACTTTAAATAACCTGAGAATTTGTCCTTGATAAATTTTATACATGGTTTTAAAAGTTGTATAGATGGCAGTTCTGTGTCCCGTTTCAGCTATGTGGTTTTCTCCATCATTTGACACTAATCAGTTTTGACGCCATCTAGGCACATGTCCAATGACCTTTGATAACATTATTCGACTACTCTTACCTATCTATGTATGTCCGCACAAACATATAAATTGGCAAATGAAATGAGATATGATGCAAACATTTGTACATTGTTTAGGTCTATTTAGAAATCACTGACATAGTGTTTTCAGTCAAAACCAATTTAGTAGCATAATAGGTTTTGGTAGTCGAAATCATGAGTCAATTGAAGCTAGACCACCATGGAAAATCTGAAAGTACTGGACGGCTGACTAATAGGTCCTGCGTTCGAATCCCGCGAGGTGGGATCGTGGATGCGCACTGCTGAAGAGTCTCACACTAGGACGAAACGGCCTCTCAGTGCTTCTAGTTTTTCCATAGTGGTCTAACTTCAATTAGCTCACGATTTCAACTATTAAAATTACTGTGATATCCATAAAAACTCCATCTGATATTAATCAACATATGCTCACTAGTGACGGTTTCCAAGAGGTATTTTCTTGGAGTTCTGGTGAGAAGCATCGACCAGTAGAGTTCAACGGGGTCTGTTGTGAAATAGTAACTCCCTGATGACAATGGTGGATGTGCCGCTCAATTTCGTGGATTAGTTGAAGTTAGACATTAACACCGCTGGTGGATGCTGGCCGGCTCAGTGGTCTAGACGTTATGCGTTCGCGCGCAAGACCAATAGATACTGCATTCGAAACCCGCGAGGCACGATCGTGGGTGAGCATTGATGAGGAGTCCCAAAATAGGACAAAACGGCCGTCCAGTGCTTCCAGGTTTTCGATTATGGTCTAGCTTCAATTGACTCATGATCTCAACTAATAAAATGACTATCATATCCACAAAACCTCTTCTAAAATATACTTTGCTGACAGTTCTATATTATACCAAACATATAATACTGAATAAAGCCAATGATAATAATTATTTCACGGTTTTTCTCTTTTTGATTGAAAAAATCTTTCCCAAAGTTCTTTTTTTCTGTTTTTTTTTTCAATTTACACTCATTTCGTTTTATTTTTTGTCACGAACCGAAGTTAATCGTTACGACCTCAAAACATAACAACAAACAAACAAACAAAACAAAATATTGGATATTGATTTATTAAACAAAATATTGACACATAAACTATACCATTGAAATTATATCTAAGTAGGAGGTGAGGGGTTGCTATGGTGGGGAGGGGGCGAAGGTCATTTACAATTTATATCATCAATGTACATGAAAAAAAAATTGATGTCAACTCTTTTTTTTTCTCTATTTAATTCTTTTAAACTATTATAGAACGAGTATTTAAAGAAAAAAATAGAAAGAAAATAGTTTGGCCCTTTAATTCATTCAACCATTTCATTGTATCAATCAGTTTCTTTCACAGATTTATAGAGAAAAAAGAAAAAGAGAAAGAGTAAGAGAGGGGGTGGGAGTGAGTTAGGTAAGGAGGGGAAGAGGTGAATAAGGTGATGGGGGAGAGAAAGAGTTTAATTTATTATAAAGAAAGACATGCCCTAGTAATTGTGATTATATAAAGGATTACAATGATTCATTGGAAGAAGAAGAACTATTACATTAAATACAATAATACGAAATCTAGAATAGAATATTAACAACATATTGAATTAGATTGTTGTAATGAACAAATGTTTAATGAGTTAAAGTGTAAGTAGTTGATCATATGGATTTTCTGCTTTCACCATAGTTACAACAAAAACACATTTTAATTCACTTGGTATTGTTTGACTTGTATCTTCCAATTGAAGTTTAAGACTGCAATTGATCAGCCTGTTATAGGCATATGTGCACACTGTGCGTATGCCCCGATATTGACTTAATTCACAAGCTATTTGTAAGCAATGATGGATAGTGGCTAGTAGTGGAATCCAGTTTGACGCGCATTTCATCCTATTTGGGACTCGTCATCTGCATGTGCCTGGATCTCACTTGCTGATGTTCATTCTGGGACTCGAACCCAGTAACATTCGCATCAAACGCCATCGCGTTATCCACTCAGTAGCTGAGTGGATAACAATAAGTAATTATATGACTTATTAAAGTTAATTATATTTGAAAATGAAGTTTTTGTAGAGAATATCATGATTTCAATCGTTACATTCATGGGTCGATTGAATCTAGACTATTCGGGAACCATTTAGATGATTCGAACTTTTCAGATGATCTAGACCTACTATCTCATACATATAAATAAATGCAAGTGAAGACAAGTAGTGTAGCGGTAGTCTCTACATAAATAGGTCTCAACACGCATTAAGCAGATATGAAGAAGATGAATAGTGACTGGAAAGGGCTGGGAAGTATTGCCCAATACAGGGTTGGATGAAGCGCGCCTTTGGGCGGCCTACGCTCCTCCACCAAGAGTAACAGGTGTAAGTAAATAAGTAAGTAACCAAGAGTTTAATTCTTTATGAATCTTATCATAACAACAATTGTATTATTCAGTCCTATATTTATGATTTGTCCAGTACAGAGATGGATTTAATATTGACCATTTTTGAAGGCTTAAATCAATTTTAAATAAATGATGTATATAATAGATTTGATTATTTAACTTTAGTGAGCTCATGATAAAATGGTTGACTAATGTCCTGGTTTGATTAAAGTTAGAATTGTACATCACTGGATATCGGTACAGCAGTTTAGAGTCTAAGTTTTTGCTCACGAGACTGAAGCCATAGGGCTGGATTCTCAGGTTATGTGTCGTGAATAGGGACTATAGAGAGGTCTTATATCACAACAAAACAGCGGTCGAGATTTAAGTATTTGGATATTGGTATGAACACTTTATAATTAAGAAACGCTATCGTCTAGTAATAATATTAAGACTTTGTTTGCATTCAATTCATCATTGAGAAGGATCTTAAGTGTCTTCATTGTAACCCATATACTATTTAATAAAGAACCTATATACGTGATCCCGTTATTCTCTTGGATTTCAGTGGTTAAACAAACGCTAATTTTTACATTTAAACTAAAATAGGATGAGACTATAATTTATGGATAACCTCTGGGTCACTATAGACTGAACTTCAAAGTTTCCACCTAATAACTAGGACCAAATGAGGGATATAAACCTGTGTAAGAAATTAGAATTACAGTTATGGTTAATGATAGGGATTAGATTTAGCGTTTCCATCACGAATTGACATCAGTTAGAATGCCGAAACTCTATTTAGCCAAATGGATGAGTGAACTTCACGCCAAAACTCGAGACTTGTTATCTTGTACATGATTGGTTCGTCCATAAATTATGGCCTCACCCTTTGGACTTCTTTTTCTACGTTTCTCTTCAACATTCCAAGTTAGTGCATACTTCGTGGTGCAGTTTGGTAATTTGCTCAATGTGTGTCCTATCCACTTCCATCGTTTTTCCCTAACTTCCTCTTTAACTGGAAATTGATTTGTTCTCTCCCATAGTAAGTTGTTGCTGATAGTATCCGGTCAACGGACGTTGAATAACTTACGTACACAATTGTTTATAAATACTTGTACTTTCGATGATGTTTCTCATAGTTCCCTACGTTTCAGCCCCCTCCCCCAAGTGAGGGATTGCCTTGTGGTGGATTTGGGTGCTTTCTTCAATGTGTCCCATCCACTTTCAGCACTTCTACTTGATTTGTTCCTCTACTGGGATCTGATTTGTTCACTCCCACAGTAGTTTGTTGCCGATAGTTTCTGGCCAACGGATCCAAAGTAACTTGTGTAGACAGCCGTTAATAAACACTTGTATCTTTTGTATGATGGTCTTCGTAGTTCTCCAGGTTTCCGCCTCATACAGTAGAACTGTCTTGACATTTGAATAGAAAATTCTCACTTTGACATTGGTTGACAGTTGTTTTGAGTTTTAGATGTTCTTCAGTTGTAGATATGCCGCTCGTGTTTCACCGATCCGCGCCTTCACATCTGCATCAGATCCACCGTGTTCATCAAAGTTGCTGCCCAGATACATCTTTCAAATCTCCATCAATTGTGATTCGATTGTTGCATGTTGTATTGTATCGGAGAATCTTGCTTTTCCCTTTCTGTATATTGAGACCTACTGATGCTGAGGCTGCTGCCACGCTAGTCTTCTTCTCCTGCATTTTTTTTGTGTGTGCGATTAAAGAGCCAGATCATCTGCGAAGTTTAGATCGTCTAGCTGCATCCTAGATTTCCAATGTATCCCATGCTTCTCCCCAGAATTTGACGTCTTCATAATCCAGTCGATCACCAGGAGAAAGAGGAAAGGTGAGAGTAAGCTACCTTGCCTGACACCGGCCTTTAATTCGAACAAGTCTGTCAACTGTCCTCCATGCACAATTCTGCAGTTTAATCCATCATAGGTATTCCGTATGTTACTGACTATCATCTCATGAACTCCGTAATGTCGAAGAAACCTCCATAGTCTTGTCCTATCCACTCTATCGAACGCTTTCTCGTAAGAAATCTAAAAGATGAAAATATCTTTACATACATTAAACTAACTTATCATTTTTAAAATGATTCTATTCATTTATGTAAAATATATATAACTTACAATTTAGGTATAACAACTTCATTACTATCATTATATTGATTAGATGAATGTGTTGTTATCATATCTTGTCTATTCTGTTGTAATATCATTGATACTCTTCTTATACGTAAAGACAATTCACATTCACTACTTAAACTTTTATTGATTTGTGGTAGTTTTGGTACATGTAATGATATAATATTCATGGAATCTGAATGATTTCCTGAAGGGGGAATACTTTCATTATATTGATGATTAGGTAATTCTAAATTAGTTGAATGATATTTTAATGGAGGCTTTTGATTCTAAAAGAAAAACAAATAAAAAAATATCATGAAAGATGAAATGAATTCATTAATATTTAGTTATAAATCAATAGACAATAACACTAGATGGTGGTTGAAGGTAGTCAACAGGAAACCATGGACCCGGGTTTCGTGCTACTTGGCACTCATCAGCAAGGTGTCGTGGCTCGGATAGCTCAGTGGTAAGGTCTCTGACTGTGAAGCTGGGTGACACGAGGTCGACTCAGCCAGGGAGCACCAGTTGCCTCAAGATTACAGGTACACCTTGCTGACGAGTTCCAAGTAGCACGAAACCCGTGTCCAGGGTTTCCTGTTGACTACCTCCAACCACCATCTAAACTCAGTATATAGTACCCGCAGTGTCGAGTCATCTAGACTAGTGCCCACATTGCAACATGGTCGATAGCATTCGATCTGCACTAAATAAGGACTTGACACACATGACATTGATCACCACCCAGTGATCAATCAACTGTGAGACAATAACACCGTTGGATGCCAGTCAGGTCAGTGTTCTAATGGTTAAGAGATCATGAGAGAAACCGATAATTCCTGGGTTCGAATCTCGTGGGGTGAGATGGTAGATATGCACTGCTGAGGAGTTCCATACTAGGAAGAAATGGTTGTCCAATGTTTTGGGGTTTTCCATTGTGGTCTAGCTTCAATTGAATCATGAAATCAACAATTTAGATACATATGAAAAGAACCAATCAGATTTAAGATAGTAGACCTCAGATTTTTGGCGTGAAATTCATTCATCCATTTGGTTAAAGAGTGTTTTGGCATTTTAGCTAATGTCAATTCATAATGAAAACCTTTAAATCTAATTTCTAGCATCTAACCATCCACTGTAAATCCTAATTCTTATTCTTCAAGCTATTTTAAAACCCTCATTTAGTTCTAGTTGGTAGGTGAACATTCTGAAGGTCACTTGAGCGTCACTCAACGTCATTCATAAATTATAGTGTCACCGAATTTCCACTGAACAACTGAAGTTATACAGATATTTTAAAGAAAGTGACTTATGAGGCTGTTAAAATCGAGATATAATAAAGTACTTTAACGCAAACTGGCTAACATTATCGTGTTCTATAAATATGTGGAACATCATTAAAAGTGATGCCCACAAATGCGCTGGTACGGTTGAGAATGGTGAAAGTTTGCTCTGACTCTCTAAATGCTCTCACATAGCCACGCATATACAACCATTACCAGAGAAGTCCTGCTCGCTGCCTTCTCGCACTATGGGTGTTGTTTACAAAATTCAGAAGACGAAGAACGAATGTCTGTCAGGAGCTTTGATCGAGTCGGTGGATATGAAGGATTCACCTAGGTGAGTTGGAAAACCCTCATTCCAAACCAATGGTACCCATGGGCTCCAGCATCCTGAAGGGATAAATGACGTATGAACCAATTGTTAGTCATTGGCTACAATAGGACTACATCTACTACTCTGTGATTCATTATGATAATCTGGTAGTGTTGTGTGTGCTACTGATTTCGACAGATATTAGTAGTATATATCACTGATCAAAAGTGAAATGTTTGGTGTCAGAATGTTAAGAAGAGAAAGAGAACAGTGAATGATTGGTGTGAAAATGAATGAGCAACGAAGTCTGAGACAATTGATGGATACTTTGCAATTGAAGTATTTACTGTATGATTCTCAGATTTTCTCAAATATTCTGTAATCTTGTATTCTAATACATTCGATTGTTCCCATTTGTGTTTTCGTTCACTACATTACTACCACCACCACTACTACTACGCACACACACACAAACACGCACACACACATATATACACAGGAACAAATAAACACTATTAGTATTTCCACGGACAAAGCAACTGAAACATTAGACAGAATGAAAAAAAAAAATGATGCATCACCACTATCGGCTGTACGAAATTCTTTCCTGTTTTAAACAGCTATGTTTTTCTTTTTTTTCTTTTTATTATTATTATTATTAAGCTCAAACAAACAGTCGGTTGCCATGGCTGAGCATTCGTTATGTGTTCCTTTTTCGACATACATAGAAACAAAACGTTTGCTTGTTTTTTTCTCTTTTTTTCGATTAAAATTTTATTTCAACTCAAACTGAAATACAAGTGAAAATGTTAAAGTTTGGTTTTTTTTTGATGAATTACATAAACGGAAATTAATCAATAATAGATTGTATTGTTTAATCATGAAAGAATAATATCAAGTGTAAGCATTGGACCTACAAAATATTTCTTCTGTACATTACTACTCATACATTCCAACTACTACTACTACTGTGGTGTGTGCTACTTATATTGAAATAAGTAGTATATGATGTTAGTCATGAATAGAAAGTCTGGAAGCAGAGAGACAAGAGGATCGAACAGTAAAGAATGGAAACAGAATGCAATTTTTATGAAAATGCAAGAATAATGAAGTCTGAGTCATTATGAGACAATTGATGGACATTTTACAAATGAAGCATTTACTTTATGATTGTTAGATTTTATTAACAAGTCCTGTAATGTTGTGTTAAATACATTCGATCGTCTCCACTGTTGTTCTTGTTCACTACGCTACTACTATTATCAACACTATTATTACTACTAATACTACCACCACCACTACTAGTACTACATTTACATGTATATATATATATATATATATATATATATATATAAACAAAATTATAAGCAAATACGGATAGTATCTAGCAGTGGAATCCAGTTTGGTGCGCGTTTCGTCTTGTTTGGGACTCCTCAGCAGGATGTACCTGCATCTCAGACTTGTTGATGTTCACCCTGAGACTCGAACCCAGTACCTTTCGCTTCAAGTACCATCGTGTTATCGACTTAGCTAATGAGTCCTGATAGCCACGTGTTTGTGCAATGGATGGATGTGAATATAAACAAAAATTTTTAAAGACTTTGAAGTATTGGACTACTGTTTTGTCCTAGTGTGGAACTCCACAGAATTATACATTCACGATTCTGCAGTCGGGACTCCAGACCAGGAGCATTGATCTTGTGCGTAAGTTTGTGAACGAGCTCCCCGGTACTCCAAGGTTTTCTATAGTGGTCACTCACAAATTCAACTGATAAATTGCTACAATATCTACAAATCCCCATACCGATAATAAGCATGTGCAAATTCGTAACTAGCTTCAAGATACATTTTTTAGAGATCTGATGAGAAGGCATGATTAGTGGAGTTCAATGAGTTTCATGTGGAGAGAGTCATTCAACTCAGACAATAGATGAAAAGTTTTGCAAGGTCATGGATCGTTTAAAGTTATACATTAACACCGTTGGATACCGGCTCAGTGTTCTAGAGGTTGAGCGTTCTCGTGTGAGTCCAGATGTCCTGGGTTTGAGTGCTCATGTACGAGGTCGAGGATGTGAACTGCTGAGAAGTCTCCTACTAGAACAAAACAATTGAATAGTGCTTCCAATATTTCAGTGGTGGCCTAACTAAGATCCATCCGTGGATTCAACTGTTAAGAATTTTGTGCTAATGATTTTGTTCAGAAAAACGCTGAAAGCTCCACGACCAAGAATGAATAGCAACTAGAAACGACTCAAAACAATGCTGAGGACAGAGTTTGAAGGAGGCTGCTGGTGGTCGGTCTATGTTCCTCCATCAGTAGTAACAGATGTAAGTCAGTATGTCAATAATAGACGATATCGAAAAAAGAAATATGAAAATTTCATACTGTAGTATTACGGATTGATCTTAGTTGGATAATTGTTGAAGACTACGAAGCATTTAATAGTTTTTTCGTACTACTCTAGGACTCCGCAGCAATGCGTACATAAGACCTCCACTGACGATCGTCTTCTGGGCCTTCAGGGTTTTATGGAGACCGGTTAACACTAGAATTATTCAGCAGGGTTCCATTTAATTGCGGATGTGAATTACTTGAGAAGGGACTTATTACCTGAGTAGTTTCTTATAAAAACGCATGTTAGGTACTTAATCAAATAGTCAGTTTTCATCGATGAATGATCTTATGCAATACATTAATGAGAACACGGCACAGTATTGGATATTTGATTTCTCCATTATGACACCTTCACAATACACAATCATGGAAAGTTGTTGAGTAACATTGTGAATTGACGGAAACTGGATGCTGAATTACTATACATTAGAGAAGTATAATTCCTTAGTCCGATTGCAGGAAGGTTCGATGATGCTCACTCCTCAACAGTACACTCAAATAATTGTCCACTGTTTTCTCATATACCAATTCTGTATAATTAAAATCAGTCAGTCAGTCAGTCAGTCAGTTACATGAAACTTCAACAATACTATCATAAACAGTTCTCGATGACTGCCGTACAAATAGAGTAGCATCTCTCACAATGACACCAGTTCACACACATGTTCCAATCTCATGTAGAACATTAACGTCGTCACATACACACATGCACACACGCACAGTTTACTGACAATCACTAACTTGCACAACATATTTCTCCACCATACAATTCACATCAACAATATCCAAACATGATATGTTATTGTTATTCAATGCCTGACAACAATAAATTCTCGAACCAATACACTTTCCATTATTTATGTTAATATTTCTGTGTTATTATGTTCAATGAATAGTTGTGTTATGTAATCATATGATCAATAATGTTCCTGTGTCTATGTGTATGTGTGTATGTGTGCATTTTTATGCGGATTGAGATAAGTAGGTATCTTATGATAACTATCAATAAGTAGTTTACATTCATTGTAACCACATATACATCTGTAATCTAGTTCAATCTGCTTCTTACATAGATCTATTTAAATATATATTCCCGGTTATCAGTATTCACATTAGTTAACATGAAGTGATTCATGAATTGTTTGTTTTACTCATTGGGACATATAACTTTATTGTGTCCAATAAGTTGAAGAATACATGAAGAACCATTCACAAGCATGTCAAACAAATGATCATTGATTAGGTTAGGTTGTTTTACAAAGATGAATATGCTTATGAATCTAAATAAAGATGCAA